TTACTTAAATTTTTCAATATGTATAAAACAGTTTGCTCTTTTATTTAAATTGATCTTATGAAGCTAGACTCTACATAGTTTGAAAATTTTAAGTTCTGAATAAATATAATCAAGCTTTGATATAGCACACTTTGCTGAAATGGTGCCACTTTCATAAGTGGCCAATGAATATATATATATACTTGTAAACAAGACCTTTCCCATAAATATTAAATTTAGAATTAAGGCTACTTTTTCATTTTACTACAATATTCATTAATATGCAAAATTAATTTTTCAGTTTTAATTATTCAATTTTTATGTAATTGAGCTGCTCATTTGCTAAATCAATTAGCTCCACAAAACGATAAGTAGAGAAATTGATAAAATAATATACATTATTTTCTAAAATTTTTTTAAAAATTTAAACAAACATTGTAGAGTGTATTATTACAGTTATAGCTTTTATTAATGATGTATAAAATAATAATGATTATTCCAAGGATATATTATTTTCACATTTTTCACAAAACCAAGGAAGTTAATCAACTTGTCTTGTAAATGGCTCAATTAAATATGACAAATGCTAGATTTACAATTTTATTTATTTACTCTTACTTAAAAGAGAATTATTATTCAATGTGTGAATTACTAAATGCATATTTTGTCATTTCAAACAACATTATTACCAAATCATGTGATTTTCATACTTTCAAACTCGAACTTATATGTAAAATTGATAACTATAGTAGACTCTCATAAGTTAGAAAAATATTGAAAAAATTAAACAAAAATTAGCAGATACTTTCATCCATTTTTTTCTCAATCAAGCACAAGTAGTGCCATATCATTATCTCCAACATCTGATGAGATTAGCACAGAATGTTATCCACAAGTTATTTTGTCTCCTTTAGACTCTGAGTAAGTTGTTGTCATTACAGTAGCATAAACTATTTCAGCACTACTCTATTTTGTATCTAGCATACTCTGAGAGCAAAATGTACTGTGTGTTCAAGTAGTAATAAAATCTACGTAAATGGATAAATTTTTAATTATGTATTATATTTATTTTTGGATGACATAAAAAGAACTCTCCTAATTTAAATTATTCTAATCTCCAATTATTTTAAATTAACAGGTTTCGCTGTATATTCAATTAGTATTGCTTCAATTCACTGTCAGTTTAATACAAAACAAACATTAAATTGAAATTAACTTCATTTTTGACTTCAAAAATGAGGTTGAATTTACTTCATTAGTTTTAGATTCATAGCTATTATATATCTTTTGGCTTTTTTGTCTATCAGTCTAAGTTGTATTGTTATAATGTTGAGAAAAAATCTGTCTCATAACTTTTGAATGTTACATTCAGTTATTGTTGTAATAAATATAAACATTCTGTATAAGAAGAAAATGATTTAAATATAGTTAACCATGCATTTGACTTAATAATAATAATATCATTTGTTTTACTGAATATTATTAGGTCAATCTAATAATTTATAGAATGTTTAGCAATCATAATTAGTATAATAAAACTGACAAAATATGAAAGTATACTGCTATGAGTAAAATGTATTGTTATATAAGTTACTGTTATGAAAATATAATAACAATTTTATAGTTCTTAAAATTAAAATAGTTTTTTGAATAGTTTAAATAATTAAGTTTTTATTTATTTATTTATTTTTAGAACTGCTAAAGAAGCTGAATTACAAGAGAAACGAGCACTTGAACGTGGTGAAACCTTACCTAATGAAGCAAGATTTGATTCTAATTGTATTACTCCAGGTATTTTTTGATTTGCTTAAAATTTGATTATTAATTATTGTAAGTGATTTTATAAATATCAGGTATAATTAAAAAATTCATATAATTGTAAAACTATTGAAAAATATAAGAAATGCATGGAAAAAATATAAGGATAGAATAGTACACTATCTACCATAAAGTAATTGGACACCCCTGCAAACAGCAACATGCGCTGTCTTAATACATGTCACGGCCGCTGTGGATAAATGAGAAAGAAAATCAGTATCAGTCGCATGCAAGATGCCACACAGTTTGAAGCTGTCTGATTTCGAAAAAGGTGTAATCATTGGTTATCACAGAAATGGCTGTTCCATATGTGACATATCCAGCGAAGTACTCAAAATCGACAGTGGGCTACGTGATTCACAAGAGGAAGGTGAGCAGTAACTATCAGAATAAGCCCTAACTAGGCAGGCCCATCAAACTGGGAGTTAGAGACCAACAGGTGCTCTCCAGAGAAATTTGGAAGAACTGCACCCAACCGATGGCCCACATCTGTAGAGAGTTTCAAATGGCAGCTGGGACTGTTGTTTTAATGAATACCATCCATAAGGAAGCCCATCTGCTCGGTTATCATGGACCTGCTGCTGCCCACAAGTCTTTCATCACCAGGACCAACAGCGCTGTTCGGCTAGCTTGGTACAAAGAACATAGACAGTGGACCATAGAACAGTGGATACAGGTTCTCTGGAGCGACGAATCCAGGTTCACCTTCTTTTGTTTGGATGGCAGAGTCTGGGTTTGGCATCTGCCTGGAGAATGCCTCCTGCCAGAATGCATTGTGCCAACAATGAAGTTTGGCAGAGGTGGAGTTATGGTGAGGGGGTGTTTTTCCTGGTATGACCTTGGTCACAATTGATGGTAGGCTCAATGTCAATGCTTATTGCACTATTTTGGATAACCATGTGCTTCCTACGTTGTGGCAGTTTTATGGGTTGGACCCATGTTACTTCCAGGACAATAACACCAGCTATCATGTTGTGACAACCACCATTGCTTGGCATAGTGACAATGGGGTTAAATGAATATATTAGTCTATTCAGAGCCTAGACCTGAACCCTATTGAGCACCTCTAGGATGAGTTGGAGCATCATCTGAAGGGGTGCCCCACCACCCGAAATCAGTGAAGGAACTCATGTCTTCTCCAAGCTGAGTGGAAGAAAATACCACCAGTTGTCATACAAAGACTGGTGGAGAGTATGCCCTGAAGGGTCACAGCTGTAATCTTTGCCTGTGGAGGTTCCACCAACTATTGATGATGAATAAACTTTGTTTTTCTGTTCTATCACAGGTGTCCAATTACTTTCTAGCAGTTAGTATAATGCAATTCTTAAAAGTGTTTTTTGATAAGTTTTTGTAAATGTAAACTGTTTAGTTTTACAGTAATATGCAGAAAAATTCAAAAAGTATTTAGTAATGAAACCATTAACAGTAAGAGCCGCCGCAAACTAGCGCTTTGCGAGAGCAAAACACTAGCAAACATACGCTAGCACAACTGGTGACGTCGAAGGCTCCGCCCCTTTCTTCTTGCCCGCGCTGTTTTTCCTTCGCTAGCGCAGCGATATGAGAGTACGCTCGCTGTTCACAGAATTCAACAGCTAGAGCATTTACGCTAGCAAGAGAGAGCGGGGAAGACGGATGACTACATAAGCATGTCACATATCGAAAAAGAAATAATAGAATTTTATCGATGTACGTAAATTACATGATAAATACATTCAGTATTGAAAAGAAAATAGTATAACCGTTGTATGTAAATAGTAATATACAGTATAAATAGTTTTCGGCTAGTTAAGCCTAGTTAGGCTTAACTAGCAAACATGTTTTTCCATGCTATTTCAAAGTTCGGAACAAAAACTGACTGATTACAAGTATAGGTTATAATAAAATCTTGTTCTATAGCCAATCTACATCTGTGGAATCCACGTCATGTGGACTACGTCATGCGAGCAAATGTTGTGTAGTTTGTGGCTGCTTCATGCCCGCGTAGCTTACCTAGCAAAAATGGCTCATAGCATCATGGGAAAAAAGGCAGGGCTTAGGAGCGCGAGTGAGCATACGCTAGCTCCCGCATCCTGTAGTTTGCGGCGGCTCTAATGGTATTTATATGCAGTGATTATACTGTAAAACAAGAATAAAATTAGATTTTTTTAAATGATGACTATGCTGTTGTATTTGATTCTATGATCTTTGACAAATAAGAGATTTATTGCAATAATATCAGATAAACAATAAGGAATAGAAATGGACTAGTCTGTTAATCTAATTGATACTCCAGTTTTTTGTAGCCATATTTCATTAGAAAAATCTTAATATTTTCAAATACATGTTTCTATGAAAGCTTTCACTAAATACTATTTTGTAAAAAGAAACATAATCATTATGATTACAATCTCTTATCATAGACAAATCATACGATCTGTTTCATTATGAAAACTTTCTGTATCCTGCTGCTCTTTTTAAATATACATTTGATAAGGAAAACATTTTTATAATAATAAACTTTGTATTGTCTTCACCTATCACCTTGTAGTTTCAGGATGCTGTATAAGCTCAATATAACAAAAGTATAAAGATTCAAATTACAGATAGTATCCTTATGAATAGTACAAATGTATGAAGTTGTCTTTTAATTGTCTTTACTTGAATTCTCTATTTTCACTTACAGTTGAAATATTGAAATAAAGCTGTTAATGTATTCATTGGAACAATTTTCAAATAAGTATTATTATTATTTGTTCATCTATTGTCTATTATGAATGTTTATTGTGAACATTTATTCAAAGAAAATTTTTCCATCATTATATGAATTTTTTTTATGACATTTTATATAATAAAATAAAAAAGAAAATTTATATATATATTATTAAATATCTATTTACATGTTTGTGTATTTTATGTATCAAAACAAATTGAATGTAGTACTTCAGTTCCAAAAATATTTATTTTTCCAAAACTATATATAAATTACTGTATAATATATTTTTTTTTCAGTTCATTTTATAAATTGAAATATAATTGCTAATTTCAATATTTTGCTTAAAATTTTACTAAAACATTTAATTATCAATTTTCAGGTACAGAATTTATGACACGTTTACATGAAGTATTAAAATATTTTGTAGTATCAAAAATTTCTACAGATAAAGCATGGCAAGATATGAAAATATACTTATCTGGTCATGAGGTAAAATCATGTTTACAAAATTATAAATAAAAAGTTATAAGTATTATATAAATATTTATTTAGACACCAGGAGAAGGTGAACATAAGATAATGGATTTTATTCGTCATGAAAGATCTCAACCTGGGTATGATCCAAATACTAGGCATTGTTTGTATGGTTTAGATGCTGATTTAGTAAGTATTCTAAATTAAAAATATTTGTTTATTTTATTATATTGTTCCAATTCAATAAAAGAAGTGTTATTTATCTAGTTAAAGAATTATGAATAACTATTAAAAAATATAGTGTATATATTTTCAATAAAGGCCAAAGTATAGCTCTCATGCTGTATGATTGAATGATATATATAATTTTCAAAGATTAATAGTGGATCTTGTAAAAGACACCTACTATTCAGACTTTTAATTGAAAAACTTAGATAATAATCTATAATTTCATAAAAATGTAAAAATATCTTACAATGGTTAAAGCTATTAGATCATAACATCTCAAACTCTATAATAAGTATGCTTAATCCAACCGATTAAAAACTAAGACCCTATGAGATGTCATGATGTCATCAAAACCACAATGCTACAGTATGTAACATATTACCATATTATCTGTTTGCATTATTATTATTTTTCCATTCTTCTCAATTCATACTTAATATAAAGTATATAGTGTATTCTCACTTTTTACATACATACATACAATGTACTGTATATATTATGCCTATATTTTTCTTAGGCACTTGGTGTTGATTCATTAAGTGACTCAAAACAGTGTTAGAGCTAGATATTCTTTAAGATATAAAATAGAAGTATATAAAAGTTTGTTGTAATAAAAATAATTATTTTATTCCATATGGTATTTTAAAACAATTTTTATATATATATACACTCCTTATTCTGTCAATATGTTTTGGTACTCTACATGTTTGAAATTGTCAATAAATACAAAAATGCTGTATTTTGTTATTTAGCTTGAAAATACAGTAGAGCATCATTTATCCAAAAGTCAGTTATCTGAAACGTCGGTTATTCGAAAGCATTCCAGTTGGCAAATTTAAATTTTTGCTAGTGCTGTGGCGCTGCAATCTTTGGCTATATTTTGGGCTACTCCAATATTTTTTCTTTTGTTGGTGTGTGTATTTTAGCTGGCAGCACTGGCACTTTTGTGTAGTGTTTTTCTGAGGACTGTGTGTCATGCTGAATTGAACGTTTTTGATACTAGATCAACTTCTAAAGTATATTTTTTTTTTTGTTTTTATATTTTTCAATATATTTATTTTGTTTGTACAAAATAAAAAAATAATTTTTAACGATACAATAGCCATTGTTAGG